TTTTAAATTATTCCTTGCTTCCTTCTGAAAAATTACTTGAAAGTCTACAGAAGAGTGCATAAATGAGGATAGGGTGAGCTACACTGTCAACTTTTCTACAGACCAAGGAAGGAATGAAATGCAGAACATTCTGTTCTGAACTCATCACTGCCAAGACAGCATTCAATAAGTCAACAAGAGGCCTGACTACATGCATGAGCTGAGAGCCTCAGACAGACAGAAGGACAGAAAGGGAAGGTGGCTTCTTCCAGCTGTAAGACTAGGAAAACACAGGTCCTTTGCAGAGTAGAAAAACAATATGACAACTCCTCATCATATAATTTAAAGGAAATCATTCCACCTGAGTTAGACAAAAGTCAGATCAATGCTTCAAAAGTAATGACAACAAATGGAAATACCCATTGTGTGTTCTGGTTCTAGGCATTGAGGAAACGACACATAGCAAAGAAACCCCTTCATAGAGAGTAAGCAAAATAAACGTTAATTATACAACATGTTGGGAGATAAGCATTGTGCAAAAATGTAAAGAAGAGAAATTAGGAGAAGCTTGGGTGGGAGTAGGGGTTGTTGCACTTCTTGGAGGATGGGCCATGACTATCCCAAAGCTGAGATGACATTTGAGCAGAGACTTGAAGCAGGTACGAAGGCAGGCAGGCAGGTATCCTGAAAAGCGTAGGTGCAATGAGCTGCCTCCAGTACTTGAGGAACAGTAAATCAGAGCTAAACGGCTGGAGAGCAGTGAGCAAGAGGGACAGTGAGTGGCTGGACATGAGAGGTAGAGGAGAAGGATGGTGGAGGAGAGGAGAATCACCTGACCTTTGAGCTTCAACTATTGTCCCCAGAGATGTAGCACGCTATCCAGAGAAGAACAGCGTGATCTGATGACCTTTTCATCAGACCCTCCCTGAATGCTGTGAGGGACAAGGACAGGAGCAGTTTAGATTAGAAACAATCTATTTGCAACCGAGTTAAGGTCTGTCCCAATTATGAATGTGGGACTATCTTTCAGATATTCTGCCTTTTTCCTCACCTGCTTTCAGCTTGATGTCACCTTAAGAACCTTCATGGAAATGCAGGAGGGGGAAACTAACACTCATTACCAGGTACTACGATGAAAGGTCTACATTCATGCTCTCAGTCAAACTTCATGCCAGCTCCATGCAGTGGGATTTATTTTTCCTGTTGTGGAGAAGACAATGCAATACTCAGAGAAGTAGGGTGACTCAGATAAGTTCCCACAGCGACTTTGTGTGTGGAGAGGGGAGACACTGAGAATTTTAGGACATTTCCCACTGTAGAGTATCCCCTCTCAACCCCCTATCCAAAACTATCCCACTTCTTTTCAAGACTAGACAGGAAAGATTTGTGATTTGTTAACGCCAAAAAGAGATAGTTGCTATAAAAACACAGAAATAACTAGACTCCATGTCTGTGTACTTTACAGATCAGAAAGTCCATTTATAAACCTTAATCTTTCCTGGATGTGCCCATCTGATCCCTTTGTCAAGGTTGGTGCTGTCAGGACAGGTGCTTTGGCCATATGGGAAATAAAAAATTGAAAGAGGACCAGAGGGAAAGAAACATGTCCCTCCAATTGGAGAAGGATGTCTTAAAGGAATTGGTCCTTGGAGGGAGAGGTATGGGGCATAGCTAAGAAACCTGACCAAGATGTGTATCCTAGACCAATCACTTAGAAATTGAGTACACCGGTGATGGACCCTAATGTCTAGCTCCATGCTGAGCATGGGGCCTGCTTGGGATTCTCTTTCTATCTCCCTCTGTCCCTCCCCTTGCTCTCTATCTAAAAAAAAAAAGGGGGGGAAGAAGAAGAAGAAAGCAGGTACATCAAAATATCAGACATTTGCTCAGTGCTGACTATGTGTCAGGAATCCATCTAACTATACCACACACGAACTTCTTCAGATCATGAACCTTCCTTAGGAACTCATATTATTGTTGCTGCTTTGCCATTATTCCCATTTTTCAGAAATGGAGACTGAGGTACAGAGAGGCCTAGTGATTTCCCAACCTATGAAACCCAAATGGTTGGTCTGCGGTCTGTCACTTAATCTTTGACCCCAGGCAAGTCACCATTTCTGAGCTTTGTGTCCTTATGTGGGATAAGGACAGCCAGGATGGCCTTGCTGTATTCTTAGGTGGGAAATAATGTCTGGAAATGTCCTTCACAGAGCTGGGCTCAGTAGAGTAGTCATTAGAATATTACCTCCAGTCTTTTGTTAATTCCCTTTGGAGGATAATTTTTCAAGTACCCCCACCATGTGGGGAAGACAAACATTTCCTTACACCTTCTCTATTTCCTCCTCTTCTTTCCATGCCTCCACAAATCCCTTCCCCAATATAGCAACCACTTAGTGGCTTCACCCTTTTGTGTATCCGCAGGCTTTGCATTGGAATTTACCAGGACATGTTTTACATGGAAATACAATGTTTCTACTTTCCTAGGTTGGAGCACCTTCCTGTAAGATCACATATAAGTTATGCCTTATTGAGACTTCCTGTCTCTCATATACCACCTGCAAGGGGAGGTTGTCACTGAACCATGCCACCAGAAGACTTACAGTTCTATAAGTAATGTTCTAATCTTGTTCCTATCCAGTGACAGCAACTGGAGGATGACCCCCCCGCCCCGTTTGTCCTTAGTCTGATCTGTTCAAGTTAGATCAAGATCTACTTTTCCTTTACTCAACCAAAAAATGTTCAAAAAAATTCTCATCAGAAAGCTCTCTAGGTAAATCTATCTTCTTCAAGTCATTATACCTGACCTGGTTTGCTTTTCAATCTCTTCCAACCAAATGATACTGATAAAAAGTCGCCATTTTTGAGAATCTAAGTGTATTCTGACAAAATCCAAGGGGAATAAATTGAACAAACTGTCATAAAACAGGAAGAATTTTGTTGTCGGTGGTGGCACATGCTCAATTCAAATCTAGAGGTGGAAACGTGAATGATGAACAGAATGCTGGAATTTCTATGAGTTTCAAAACCAGAAACAACTGAGCCTCCACAGAGCTTTGGAAACACTGCAGGAAAGGGAACATCCTGAGGGTCTCCTTGCTGTTGGCTGGGCATTTCCCACCCAGCCCTGCCCACTGGGCACTCCTAACTCCTTGGAAGCTCCCCCTGCTCCTCCCCCATGTCACGTTCCTTCCCTTCTAGATATAGTGACTTAGAAAAAGTGCTTAGAAAAAATATCCATAATCACCAAACTGTGGAAAGAGCCCAGATGCCCTTTAACAGATGAATGGATAAAGGAGATGTGGTCCATATATACAATGGAATATTATGTCTCCATCAGAAAGGATGAATACCCAACTTTTGTATCAACATGGATGGGACTGGAAGAGATTATGCTGAGTGAAATAAGTCAAGCAGAGAGAGTCAATTATCATATGGTTTCACTTACTTGTGGAGCATAAGGAATAGCATGGAGGACATTAGGAGAAGGAAGGGAAAAATGAAGGGGGTGGGGATCAGAAAGGAAGGTGAACCATGAGAGACTGTGGACTCTGAGAAACAAATTGAGGGTTTTAGAGGGGTGAGGGGTGCAGGGATGGGTGAGTGGGTGATGGGTATTCAGGAAGGCATGGATTGCATGGAGCACTGGGTGTTATATGTAAACAATGAATCAGGGAACACTACATCAAAAACTAATGATGTACTGTATAGTGACTAACATAACACACACACAAAAATAATAATAATAAAAAAAAAAGAAAAAGAAAAAGTCAACCCTGGAGGAATGAGCCTGGGAGCAGGGCGGAGGGGGTGGGATGGTCAAGAACTTTGCCCCTGCCAGCAACCCTTAGTTTTCCAAAACCAGAAGAAACAAAAGCTAGAGATCTTGAAAACTGGGGAAAAGAAACCAAAGAAGCAGAGTCCTTGTTGCAAAAGTTTCGTCCATGTCCTAGTCTTTTCCCCCCTGTTCCTGTTCCTTTTCAGAGGAAACTGCCTGAGTTCTGTATTCCTTTAACACTGTAGAAGGACAATAGAATTTTTTTTTTCTTTTACAAAAATCTCTTCCTGTTACTTAAAAATGATTCCTGCTGTTTCCCAACTGCTGGGGGGGGGTGCTCGTTTGTTGCCCTTTAGCAGACATCTTTAAACTGAAGAAGGATACAGTTATAATCATAGGAAATTACTTCCTTCAGCTCATTTAATTTCCCCTAATCCTATCAACACCCTTGTAAAGTAGGTGTGCTCTGCAGATGACAAGCAAGGGAAGCCCAGAGAGGTTAAGTAACGTTCCAAGACTCACACAAGGAGTAAGAAAGGAAACAATGGATCATATCCTATCACCTCAAGCATCCTTTCACTCTGTAAAACTGACTCCCCTTTGAAATCTTCTCCAGTCTCTCCCAGCATAAAAGTGCCAATAGCTGCATCCCTTATTACAGCAAGCTCTGAATAAGTACTTTGTGATTCATTCTATAGGGATTCTTTGTGATTTTGATAATATCTCAAAAGAAGAAAAACTGATAATTTGGCAGTTACTGTCTGAAAAAACGAGGCCGTCCTTCATTAAACAGTGCAATATTATTATGTATATATTCTAAAGAAACAAAATTACTTTACACCTATAATTTTTTTTTCAAGTATCACATGTTTCAATTTATCCTGATAGATTTTCCCCTCCGATGTGCTTTAATTATTGATGTAAGCATCCTCTCTAGGGCCATGGTGTTCACCCACAGACCCCAGGTTACAATCTTGTGCTCTGCCTGTTTGGGTGTGGGAGGGGGAGAGGCCCATGAAGCCTGGTTTTCTCTGCTTGTTCTCCATCGCAAGAGGACACAGGTAGTTAGCAAGGTTCATAACAAACACTAGTGGCCACTCACAGAGTCCTCTTCTTGATGGGCAGAGGGCAAGAGCTTTCATATGTAAAATACGCAATCCGCAAACAACCCCAGGAGGTAGCTTACATTATTACCACCAATCTCTAGATGGGAAAGTTGCTGTCTCAGAGAGGTTTAGGATCTTGGTTAGGACCACACAGCCTAAACTCTCAGGGTCCTTTACCTCCTATTCCTCTGCCTCAGGAGGAAATGCCTTGGCCTGGAGACTACATCTGGGTCCTTGAGTCCCACTCCTAGGGACCATGGCATACATTTAAAAAGACACATCGGGAAGCAAAGGGTGCTGTGTGCACCTAAGAACCAGAGATGTCCCATAACCCCTCCACTACAATATTTTTGGCCCCAAGCCTTGAATCTTGTGTTTGTTGCTTTGTTTAGTCCTGACAAAAGGACTTTTAGGATGAACGAAGTAGCACTCGCTTCTTTTGCAGGTAAGGACAGTGAGGCTCAAAGAGGTTCAGTATCTTGCCTAAGGACATACAGGCAAGGAGTGGACTAAGGATTAAAGCAATGAACCTTTCACTAGTTCCTCTTCCTCTGGACTCCAAACAGGGGGAGTCAGTGGGCTCAGGGCTCACAACATCAAAATGTCCGTCAGCACGAATTGAGTAGCAGGTGTTGCATAAGTGATCCAGGAAGAACTCGTCCAGATGCTGTCTGTGGTTCTCGGAAGGTAGGAGAGACTTCTCCAGGATGGCACCAGGCAAAGCCAATCCCCAAGAGTGCCTGGGTGCTGCCACCAGCAGCCTCCTGGGCCAGGCCACAGCCTTCCCCGGTGGCTGCCATTCCTTGCCACACTCAAGGGCCTGAAATGACATTTTCCGCATGTTACCTGTCTCCACCTGGAAGGCCTGCCCGAGTGTTGAGCGGCTCACTCAGCCCTGTCCCTCCCTCAACGCCCAAGGGCGATCAGGGCAAATCTACGGAATTCACGGTTCTCCCACTTCTGCTCACACTGAACACTGTCGCCCGGCTCCTGCTGGGGTGGGGCCCGGCTCACGAGAATGATGATGGGCTCCTCGCAGAGTGTGGAGAGGTTCTCCGTCTGCACGGCATTCTTCTTCAGCGGAGACCCACAGGGCGCCTCAACACGCGCGCTTCTGGGCTCAGGGAGGGAGGGGTCTGCGGTGCCAAGAGCCGCGGTACCAGGTTGCAGGATTGCCTTTGGTGTCACCTCCTCCCGCAGCCGTCCCTTCACCCTTGCGTGTGCACACAGGCCGGATGGAAGGCGCGATGCTAACGGCTGCCTGAGCAGGTGGGAGGGAAGAGAGACGAGAGGTATTCCATTGGTTGTCTGGGAAAATGAATTGCACCTTCCCCTCACTTGCGGAGGATCAACTTTTCCCACCCCCTCGGGTGGGCACTCATCACCCGGGGTCGCAGCCAGAACCTGGGCGCCCAGTGGCCCCAGTTCGAGGGAAGTAGAGCTGGGCGGGCAGTGGACGCCCCCAGTCACCGGGGGAAAGTGCTTCACGATGTCCCGCGTCCCGAGGGTCCCCGCGCCGGGGCGAGCAGCCCCGGCACCGCGGCTCCCGCCTCCAGCTGCCCCGCACGCGCCGCCCGCGCCGGGCCCCCAAGGGTTAAGCGCGGGCCCCGCGGCGCCGCGGCCGATCCCAACACCGGGTCCCGGGCGCAGAGAGCCGGCGGCCACCTGCCGCGCGGAGCCGCGGAGCGATGCGGCGCTGGAATGAGGAAGCGCGGCGGCGAGGGGAGGGCCCGGGCGCGCTGCGCGCGGGGGTGGCGGCGGCGCGCCGAGCGGGCCTGGCGCGGGCGAGCGGGCTGCAGCCGGCGGCGGTGCCAGCAGGTACGGCCCGCGCCGGCCGCCGCCCCGGCAGCCCTGGGGGCCGGGAGCCAGCCTCGCGCCCTGGCAAAGTTTGTGCACGCGGTCCCGGAGTTGCGGTCGGACTGCACCGCGGGAAGCGGCCATCCCGCGGCGGGGCGGGGACGGAGGCGGCGCGTCCCGTTCCGCACCCCGCTCCGCGCCCGGGTCCCTGTCCCGTCCCGCGCCCATCTCTACTTCCCGCTCCGAGTCCCCCTCCGCGCCCGACTGAGCGCGGCCGCCCCGCACCGCCCTCTCCGAGTCCCGCGCCGCCCCGCGCCGCGCTCGGGTCCCGCTCGGTGTTCCGGAGCCGCGAGCCAGGCGAGGGCAGGGCCGTGCGCGCGGGGCGGGGCGGCTGCGGGCCGGTGGCGCCGCGGCCCGAGGAGTGCACCTCCCCAAAGTTTGCGGAGCGCGGGCCGCGGGCCGCGGGCGCGCACTCCGGCCGCCGCCAATCTGGGAGGCCGCAGGTGGCGAGGCGCCGGCCCGCGGGGCGCGGCGCGGAGGGGCCCAGGTGCGCGGCCCGTGGGCGGCGCTGTGCGCTCGGGGCAAGCCGGCCGGCAGCGAGCGCGAAAGCCGGGTCGGAGCCGGCGGGGGGTGGGGAGGGTGGCGGAGAAATGGGGAACAATGCGAGTGAGCAACTTCAGGAAGTCATTGTGAAAGAAAGCTGGGAAGAGCTCGGCGGCCAAGTTAGCAGGGCATTCTAACAAGTGCATGCGCGGCCCGCGCCCGGGGCGGCGACTGCGGCGACAGTCCCTGGGTCCCCGCGGAGCGCCGCCGAGCCCGGGCGGGACCTTGGAGGTGGCGAGGCGGCCGGCCCGGGCGAGCCCGGCAGGGCAGAGGGAGCCCCGACCCCGAGGTTGCTCTCCGCGCCTGAGGATCAGTCTTGGCCCCCAAAGTGCGACGCACACATCCACGTGAGTGTTTTCGAATTGAATTTCAATAGGAAAACTCCGGGTAGCCGGTGGATTAGGGAGAGAGGAGGGAGAGAGAGAGAAGGAAAGAATGAGAAGACGGGGCAGTCAGATTCGGAAGCCCTGGTTTCGCTCAGGTCGGCCTCTCGGTTCTGCGGACGGCAAGAGCGCCCAGTTTGCCAGAGCCTCCGCCAGCTTGTGCTGCGACCGCAGGCGCAGGGCCGGGCCGGCAGTGGGGCGCTTGTGCGGCGCCCTGCTGTCACCGTGAGGGGGACGTTCTACCCCCACTTACATTACACTGTATAGACCTGCCTCTAGCTCACGGAAGTCAGGCTTTATAAAGTCGTTCGTACAGAGCTTTCCTTTCTTATTTCTGGGGTGAGAGCATTTTGCTTATACGGTAAAATAATTAGATCGTGCCTGAACTCGCTTTCTGCAAGATGCAGAATTACCCCGGTTTGAAAAGTTAGTAGGACTTCTGCAGACTGCGATTTTGGCTATCGGGTTTCTAAACTCCCTGGTAATGAGGCATCAGGTTACTAGCGACTGGATTTGCAATGTATGTTTAAAAAAAAAAAAAATCGCCAAGGGTTCTCCGTGGTTCTTAAGGAATTGTGGGGAAGAGGAGATGGGTTTTTTCCCTTCTAATTAGGAGGCACAGAGTATGGCGTGTAGAAAGCGGACATGCACAGCTTTCCAAAGCAGTCCCCCCGTCGTCGCTCTGGGCTGCAGCCGGCCCAGAGCGAATTCAAGGCAAGCTTGCCTGCCGCTCATATCCCACCCTGCTTCCGACTCTGCATCTCAGCTCCCAGGTACCTTGTTTTAAACTTGGAGACACAAACTGCTGTTGAACGAATACTTGCTTGCGAGCCAAATCAACTTCTGTTAAGGGAGAAAAAACGTATGGAGGTTGAAAATATTTAATCTGGACAATATTTAAAGTTTCATAGAAATTGAAATGGTTGCAAGGATTGGTTCACTTGGTTCTGAGTTGAGAGGAGACAGGAAACTGCAGGAAATGGTGGGAGCCTTGTGAATTTGTTTCTTTGTTTGAAGATGTTTGGTGAGGCTCCTTGGACCCATCTTTTATGTGGAATTTTAAAAGTACCAGTTTTTTTTTTTCATATTAAATGTCAGAATTGTTTTAGTGGCAAATTAGGTTATTTGATATGTGGCAAGAAATTTAAACAGTGCCAAATATCCGTGAAAGGATTACCTGCTTCCATCATAGAATATGCAGAACATGATAAAAAAAATAACTTGTCTGAACAGATGTGGATAATGATGGCACATTTTAAAATCCTGTACACTCCTGGTTTGATGGAATGCATCCGATTTCAAAACTTTCCAGGAACATACGTGTTTATACCTTTTTTTACGTGGCAAAAAAAATGTGCTTCCCGGTCTTGAAGTCCCCCAGAGCGGAGGCCAGAGCAGATGCTTGAGTTAAAGGGTCATGCTTCTTCCCCTTTTGTTTCATGGTGATGGTTGAAGGCAGGAGCTCTAAAAACTCCAGCATGCTTGCTTGTTGGTGTATGTAATTCACCAGCGTTTTAATGGAAAGGCTACATCCTTACACATCCTAGGAAATCAGAAACATGGTAGCAAGAGGAGCTCATCCGCTGGGTCTCACCGGGTGCGCTTGTGGGTCCCTAAATAAAAGTGCGTTTTGTCCTATTCTTGTGGGTCCCTAAAATAAAAAGCATGCTTGTGTATTCTTTTGAGAACTTGGTCCGTGGTTTCTTGAGAGAGGATACACTGAGGCTGTCCTTGGCACCATTTTCTTTGTTGAAAAATTGAGATCCGGGTGAATTTCCTGGCCAGGACGTCTGAAGCCCCAGGGTGCTGGGGTCCACTGAGCCTTGGTCACTCAGCTAGGGACTTAAGAGTTTGAGAATGGATGATGGTTCTTTATTTGTTGTTGTTGGTTTTTTTTCCCCTCCATTTGGATTGGTGTATTTCATGTGTGGGTCCTAGGGCAGCATATTGGCAACATAAATGTCAGACTTTGCAAATTTGACGCAACACTGTCCTACAGAGTGTCCTGCGACGAAACGCCCCCGCCCCCCACGTGTACAGGTGTTCTGTGTATACGTCAAGATTATGTGTGCATTGACAGATATAGGAAATAAAGAAATTCATTGAGTCTGTGCACACACACACACACACACATACAGAGTCACACAGCATGCATAGGGCACACAGAGAGAGGTGTGGGGGGCAGGATGAGAAAGAGTCTTCACATTGCACAAACCTAACCTGAGTAATAAAGTATCACCATTTAGGTTCTGTGTGTTTGGTTGGTTTTTACCTTTCACTAAAGAAGGATGGGTTTTCCTTTTTATACTGTTGAGTGTAGACATAAATGATACGAGTACTTTGGGTGTTTGCCTAACACTGTTAACCCAGAATCTGTCATGGATAGCACCATTTCGTGGCGTGTGTGTGTGTGTGTGTGTGTGTGTTTTCCTGCCCCTCTAATCTTTGTAATTCTGAAATAATTTCACTATGAGATAAGTATTGGTTTTTGTTGACTTATCCTGATGGAGATCCATTCGAGGAGCTGCTCACAGAGAGCACACAGAGCCCCCTTTATGTTCTGTGGGAACCTTTGGAACTTGTCAGCCTGACTGGCCTTTTTGGGGACTGTGACTCCTGCTTCCAACCACGAGATGCTGTACCTCTTGGCCTGGCCGTGAAGGTTTCTCCCTGCCCTGGGTCGGTAGGTTATTCTTTTGGGAACCCTCAGGCTTGGGTGCATGCAATCGTTCCAGGTCCCCAAAACACAAGATGTAGAAGCAACAAGTGACCCATCGTCTCAGGCTTTCAGAAGATCCTCGATCTCGTGTGCACCTTGAGATGGGTCATCGTTTGGCTCACACCAGGCACAGGGGCACGTGTGATCTAGATGGTAGAGAGTTTGTGTTGCAGCATATGGGTGTGAGACACATACACACGCATACGTTTAAAGTTCGGATGGGGAGGGAAATAAGAATGGGGCCGGCATGCGCCAGACCCGACTCCAGCAGCTTCTTCTTGGGGACCCAAGGTTTTACTCCGTTCTCGGCAGTTTAAGAACCGACCTCACACCCAGGGGTCTCTCTCTGCCGTTCCTGGGATACACGCTCCCATCCTTCCCCCTTCTGCGCCGTTCCAGGGATGGCTTTTGTTTGATGTCATTTTTTTAAACGTGCGATGCTCCTCTGACAACTATCTCTCAGACGTGACAAGACGTGCAGCGTGAAACACAGCCAGACAAAGGATGCAGTGCACACGCTCCTGAGTGGGGGGTGGGGCCCTGCCCCACCCCCCGCTTGTGTGTGTGTGTGTGTGTGTGTGTGTGTGTGTGTGTCGCTATGGGTCACTCCCAAGAGGGGCCCACAGAGCGCCAGTGGTGGCCGCGCCCCTAGAGGCCACGTCCTCCTCACTTCCATTGGCTTTGTATCCTTCTCAGAGTAGACTGCGAGCCACAGGAGGGACCCACAGGTGTCTTCAGGGACCCGCCTGGCGACAAACTGTTAAAAGTGGTGAAAACCCAGAGTCGCAGGTGGGGGGCCCGCTGTCTTTCCCCGATGTAGGCCTGGCCCTGTTTCCCTTCTCCCATGGCCACGGCCACGGCCACGGTCACGGCCACGGTCACGTCGGCCTTTGGGGAACTCACAATTCCTGCTGACTAAAAGAGCTCCGGCCCCACCACAGGCCTGTCAAATGAGACATCCTAGTAATCTCGGAACCCGTTTCGGTCGGCACAGGAAGCCCAGGCTCCCTTCCTGCCCGTGTTTTCCTGAGAGAAAACTATCTTCCCTCCTTTTTTGCATATTTGGCAAATGGTTCCACCTTTCTCTCCGCCCCAGGGGAGTGCGAAGGCGGTGGCGGAGGACAGGGCCTACCGGCCTGCCACCCGGGGCAGCAGGGTCCTTCCCAGGTGGCTGATGGCAGGGACTCCGCGTGCGTGACCCAGGGTCCGAAGACCCCCATCCTCCAAAAGCGGCATTGGTGTGGGAAGGCAGCACCCCCGCAGTCTCTGGGAGGCACGGGTTGACCGGTGAGTGCCACTCACACTTTCTCTGCGGCGCTTACTAGACGGGGACAGCCAGCGTGGCCTCTCTTCCTGGTGGCCTGCGCCTGCCCGGCCAGGCCCGGCTCCCCTCCGCAGCCTGTCTGGGTGATGGAGAGCATCATTATACACCATTGGCATGCGCTGCTTTCGGGTTGTCCCATGCCCCACCTCCTGATGGCTGGTGGCACGGGGCCACGGCTTAACGGATTGCCTAAAATGGGGCCTAATTAGTGGAAAAGTGCCTTCTTCATATTTTCTCACTCAAGTGTGCAATGATTCATTTTTCTCCAGCAATCAGCTCACTGCCGAAGGCTATCTGACTCTTCCTGCCATTTTCGCGCCAAAAGTTAGCAGTCACGGACACGGTGCAGCGCTTCCCGGCCAGGGGGGGGGGGGGGGGGGCGCAGCGGGGTGAGGAGGGGGCACCCAGCATTGGTCCTCTGTCCCCCTTCCCAGCTCTTCCTTCTCCCTCCCGGTCTCTCTCCCTCTTCCTCCTTTCTCTGGGTGGGGTGGGGGGGAGGGGAGGTTGCCTTGGGAGTCCATGGAAACAACTAAGAACGGCATCAAGTACATTTTAAGTGCTCGTACGCATCCCGACAGAGAGTTTCAGGCTCCATTTTGGAAATCATCCTGATAGCAGCCCTCTAAAGCGTTTTCTGTTCGTTTGAAACTATTTAAAATGGAACACTATGGCTCAGAGTCCTTTTCTGAAGCGCCGAGTTCTGTTAGGAATATTGATTCGCCTGTTTGGGGTGAATTTCTCTTGTGGAATCTGATTTTCACTAGTCAGGCTAGAGCCCATGAAACAGCACAAAAGACCCCTCCTTGGCCCCCGGGGTGGGGGAATGTTTGCTTTAGAATCTTTAGGAGAAATGAAAATGAGGAATTGATCTTTCATGAGCTTGCTTCGGAGACACTCTGAAACATCCTCCCCTCCCTGTGC